TAAATATACTGAACTGCAAAATTGCCCCTGTAAGTGTGAATGGGTGGAAAAAACTGTACTGTAAAGCGCTTTGAGTGGTCATCAATATAAATACATTTACCTGCATGTTTTCCCTCAGGTCAGTAGCTTCCCTCAGCAGTGGAGCAACTATCTTGAAAACCTCGTCCACAGCCCGGACTCCCAAGTCCCTCAGAGCTGTGTAGTTCCTGCCCTTCCGGGCCTTCCTCACAGACAGGCCTCGCTTGTGAGGCTTTCCTCCTCCTCTACGATTGGTGAGGGCCACATGGACAAACAGCTTAGCATGGGGGAGTTCCTCCCCTGTCAGACACTGGAGTGGCACATGACGGTAGCCTGGCTGGAGACACTCTAAAGAGATGGTGTACTGCCCTGTGGTGGGAGGAAAATCACATTTCATTTCAAATATGTCAAAGGATTGAATGAAGGCAGGTGCGGTAATAACATGTAACAGTGGTACAAGCTTGAACTATAAAAGACCTTTCGTTTGAGTTGTGTATTTTAATCCCTTTACATGAAACTGACTCTGACCTATAAACTCGTCCCCTATGAAGTCATCATCCAGCACTACAAAGCGAACCATGGCGAGCTCCGGCAGATTGATCTGGAACTCAAAGCTCTCGTCAAAGATAGGGTTGTCCCCGTCCTGGATCACTGTCCTGGTGCGGCGCTCGGTGCAGTCGGCCGGGATGCCGTGGATCTCCACGTACACGTATGGGTCCACCACATCCCCTTTGGCCCCTGAACCTCTTGGCTTGGGCAGGTTCTGGCCACTTATCACCTGGAGGAATGACCATGTTGACAGTTACTGACACTTTGCTGACTATTGGAGCATAATCATAACTGTAGAGGAATTTTCCAATTCATTACATCTTTGGTGGGTTTTTTCATGGCTTCGGCCATTATCTTTATCAATTAAGATAACACTATGCACATCCAAATAACTGATGTGGGTGACATTTCCACAGTGAAGTCCATCTTAATAAAAGCTGACAGGTTGTAAGAAAACCAAAGTTTTCAAATGGAGGTAAAAGTGCAAATGAGCAAAACCAAAATCAAATTTGCCCTTTGTCTTAACTTCTTAATAATAGTGGATAACCTGGAGGTTAATTTTACCCCTGTATGATCATATAGAAGAATACCAAGGTCAGGTTTATAGCTAGTTCCTGAAAAAACTAGCAAGACTACAGTCTGCAGGCTACACTTGTATAAATCCCAACCCCTCTCTTCAAAGCTACACCACATGAACGTGCACTGCCTCAAAACTGCTAGAAGCCGACTTTACCGTGACTCACTCGCTAACTTCTGACTCAGACCAAATTAAATTATTGGTCGTGTTCATCACTATCCTGCGAGGGCCGCAGACACAGGCTCTTTATTCAGACATTATATATTTATGGCAATCTGTACTGCTTCGGAATTACTTTTAGAAACAAGGTGTGGTAGTCAGCATAAGGTCTTTGAAGAGACACAGGAAGCTCAGTCAGTCCTCTAATTGGATTTGATTACCGGGAGGATGTATCTATATTCTGGAAATTTCTACTTCATTCACAACACACAACACAGTATTTCCACCTTATTCTCGAAATTAATTCTTCGACTTTCATTTTAACATTTTATCTTAACATTTTGATTTAATTCTCGAAATGAAAAAAGAAAAAAAACTAAAGGGCAATAATATGCTTCTTCTTGACCCTAGAGAATAATGTCCAAACTACAAATAAGATTGGCAGGATCACACATTATTCCACCTCCACACCATCCCACCTTCACATGAAGCAGCTGTGGAGACACACCAGGCACCGTCTCTCTGGTGTCGGCACTGAAATACGACACCTCCTGCCGCATGATGGCCGGGCGCAGGACGTAACCGCAGTTCCCGTTCTGCCGGAACCAAGCCGTGTTCAGGTCCATCATTAGTCCTGCTGTCTGAAAATTCATGGACACAATTTGGCACCCACACTTCCACAGGTCCTGAGGGTTCATGTTGCTCGAGTCAATGCGCATGGGGCTGGGGTACACCCGTGACAGAAAATGCTTGTTATGATTGACAAAGTCTCCGGGGCTTTCACTAGTGAGACGCACGGCCAGAGACTCGTGAAAGGAACACAGCTCCCAAGGTTTTTGGCTTTTGGATGATGTCGGGAAGTCAGTGAAGCTCACTGAGCGGCAAAGAGCCACAAGGTCGGAAAGCTCCTTCAAGAGCTGGAACTGTTTTGATGGAGGATGAGGAGGATGAGACTGAGTGACGCTTTTCTCCAACTCCTTCTCACTTCCTCCAGGCGTGGCCCCTCCGCTATTAGCTTCCTTCATCCTTTGACACGTCTCTGCCCCTTCATCCTCCTCACTTACCACGCCGTCCTCGCCATCAGAACCTGGACCCAACTTCTTACCCTTTAGTAGGATCCGATGGCGTAACACATGAGGTGACGGTAGGTAAGAGTCCTCTTCATCAGGCGGAGATATGTATAACTTATCCCCTAGTACTCCCATGAGGTGTTTCCACATTGTTTCCTGCTGATGAAGTGAACAGTGGTTCTCAACACATAAAATTAATGGATAATCTGATGCCGCAAATGCAAAACGTCCAATTGCTTCCAACACACAACGCAGGGACAGCGGTGGGGAAAGTGTGTGACCCGTGCACACCACTGGCTCCTCATCAGAGCCGTCCCAAACGTCCACTTCCACACATCGACAGCCCATCTTGAGGGCGCGGATGTAGCCGGAGATGTCGGAGGGGCCTTTGAACTGGTCCTCGATGAGGTAGGTGTTGTGGGAGGAGTTAATGTAGTAGTGGGACAAAGGCTGGGACATATCCTGGCAGACGGCGCCGTGCTCCCTGTCGAAGAGGTTGCACTCTGCTGAGGTGAGGTAGCTGGTGAAGCCGTCCAGAGACAGGTATCCCTGCTGCCGGCCTTTCTCCGACGGCTCGTGGGACTGGATGAGCTTCAGACTAGTCTCCTCACTCACCTGGAGGACGCAGTGAGAGATGAATGGGAAGTCAGACTCTTCAAGAGGGATTAAAATTTTCCATGTACACCTAATCTCTATAAACAGGTTCTCCATGTGAAAATGCAGAATATTTATGTGAGCAGCAATATTCTGCAGAGATCTCGTGTTTTTGTTTACAGCACATTGAAACCTGCTCTTATCACCAAAAACTCTTAATCTTCGTCGCCATCTCTGGACTATATGGCTCTGCTTTTTCAAACTAAGATATTTGTATTCTTTTGGGTCATTTTCTGGTCTGTCACATGTAAGAAATGTCATCAAGAGGAGATTATCTGAAGTTCAGTGCATGTTGGAAAGCAGCTTATCTGCAAATAATTGTTACTCACTTGGGTCATGCCTTGCTCAGCCTCGAGGAACCTCATCAGGTCTTTGGTGTCAAGGAACTCCTTGTTGCTTGAAAACTGCACCAACAGAAAGTAGATCTCTGGACGTGTGCAAAAGTCGTGAAAGACCTCGATAAACTCCGGCTTGGTGACTCGCTCGTTTCTTCCCAGTGGTCTTTTGGTTTCGACGTGATCTTTAACACCGGATCCGTTATTCAACATGAGCCCAGACACCTTCTCCCTAACCCTTTGAAGCTCTTTAAACCTGTGCTCCACTTTCCCACTGCTCACACCAGGGTTCACGCTCTGTATCAGCTTGACGGCTGATCTCAAGCGGATCCCTTCGTCCTCATCTTCCAGTCCTTCTGAAACAGCGGTGGAGGAGAACAACTGCTCGAGCCAATCAAGACGAAGGCTGTCCTGGCTGCTGGCTAGCATGTCCAGGGCGTGTTTCCCATACTGCATCAGATACCTGGAGGCAGATGATCAAGGTTGATGAAACAGACAGAACGTTTTCCTTTACAATATTTCCATATTAACTGACTCTATATAAAGCACAATAACTGCAGCAAAAGAATATGTTTAAAGACAAATCACTTAACTTGCCTTTCATAACATAGAGTTTATCAGAGGGCCCTGCAGGATACCACTCTTCATCATAATACAATCAATATGTGAGAAAAAGCAAAGATCCTACAATTTACCGTTGGGCTGCCCTGCACAGCCACGCTGTCGTTCAACCACAAATTAAATTATTTTTGCTCTCTGTCAGTCAGACTGTATGTCCACAAAATACACAACACAGCTACTTATTTCAGTGCTGCTGAATGTTACATTAGAAATAGCTGTGAGATAATTTATATTGAAACAAATGTTGATTGAGTTTCTGGTAGATATACAAATTACATCCATCCATTATCTACACCACTTATCCTTAAAGGGTTGCCGCTGGAGCAGGAGCCAATCTCAGCTGACATTGGGCAAGAGGTAGTGTACACCCTGGACTGGTCACCAGCCAATCACAGGGACAAACAACCATTCATGCCCAGATTCACACCAACTGACTAGAGTCACCAGTCAACTCCGACCTGCATGTTTTTGGACTGTGGGAGGAAGCTGGAGTACCTGGAGAAAACCCTCTCAAACACTAGGAGAACATGCAGTCTCCACAAAGAAAGACCTCTGCTGAACCAGGGCTCGAACCTCTTGCTGTGAGGAGACAAATCACACAGTACCAACTGTCTCACACCTTAGTCCAGTCACCCAAATGTTTGCCACTTCAGCAGAGTTGGCCACCAGGTCCAGGTTTTCATACACGTCTCCATAGATGATGGAAAAGGCGCAGTCCTCTGATATCTGCTCATAAACTCCACTGGTGCGGAAGGTGTCCGTGTTACGACCTGTTCGTACCTGGAATTTGAGACCACAAGAGATACGGTCAAACCCACATCATATACATAAAAAGCAATATCTTGCCTTCCATATGGTTCAAGGCTGTAAATACTTTCTCCTTATCCGAAACAAATCACTGAGGTCCAGTCATAAAGCAAATAACCAAACTTGAAACTTGAAAGCTTTCCCCCTCTGGAAACTTACCTCCCGTATGGAGGTGAGGGAGATGCGGGCTTTGTCTGATTCCTTCTTGGACGGTTCCCAGCACAGAGCCTGGAGCCCTGTGTCTAGCATGTAGTAGCGCTGGTAGACACGCGAATTAGGCCGGATCTTCTTCAGCTCGCTCCCCTCAACCTGGAAGCAAAGATATGAAATGAAGACAGAGCTCATTCCACTTTACTTTAACTGAGCGAGATCGCCAAGAAACCCTGTCTACGTATGCGCTTCACAATAAATATTTTGTGTGCAGTTATGTAAAGCTCATGTTTTATATAAAGGGGTCACACTGTGCCTGATGACCCACCATGGAGTGGATACAGTCGGCGGCGCTGCTGATTTTCTTCTCTGACAGGCTGCTGCTGAAGGACACTGTCTTCTTCCTCTCACGACCCACACGTGACCCATCCTGACGAGGAGGCAGAGGGGAGAGGATGAGACAGATAAAGAGACGAGGAGGAGGAAGAGAGTTAACAAAATAAAAAAGAAAGAGAGAGAGACAGACAGCGATCCCTCTGACATGTATTCTTTGCTTAAGCATGACAAACATTTTTTTTCTCCCCGTCCAGAATGGATCTGAAAGGATTAAAAGGCATATCAGCTTATATAACCATACATAAACACAGATTATTTGGTCGACCACGCTGAGCCTCCTCCTCCCAATCTGTTATTGTTTTCCTGATACAACGCTAAAAGCTTCTGCGTGCCCTTGCCCTTCACCATTACACCATTAATCATACCTGCCTAGACAGAGGCGGCGGGCTTCGGCTTTCCGACTCAGCCCCCTCCGCAATGCCGCGCGCCAACCCCAATCAGTTTATCTGAGCGCACCATCATAGCTCCATCCTTCTGATTTATTGACCCATCAGATGTCACCCCCGCAGAGAACTTTTAGACTGATAGATAAGAGCATATATGTGGGCACAGTTATTTAATTAAGAATGTATTAGAGTCCCAGTGAAATTGAATCAAAGACTTCATAGAAGCTTATCTAAAGCAGGATAAGTATGTATGTGTAATTGTAGTTGATTCAATCCCGAGGAGAGTGATTGAAGATGCAAACACCCACATACTCAGCATACTTCCGTCTTAAATATACTCTGCATACGTAGATGTCAAAAAGAAGGGGAATAGGAAAAACAAAATAAGAAAATAAATCAATAGGGCCGCATGTGATGATGTTATCTTTTTGTTAGTTAGTAGCATTACACAAAAACTGCAAAATGGAATACCATGAAACTATGCAGAAGGATGCGTCTGGGTTAGGGAAGATTCATTTAAATTTTGGTTTAGAACTGGGCCAGCAGTAAAACACTGATTGCTGAAGTGAACATTGATTATCTTGTTGTAATGGAACCTGTCAAGATGTTAAATATATTAGGCAGCAAGGGAACATTCTGTTCATAAAGCTAATGTGTTAGAAGCAGGAAAAATGGTGCAAAGGGACTTTGACAAGGACCAAATTGCAGTGGTTTAACAATTTGGGTCAGCGCATCTCAAAAACTGCAGTTGTCATAGGGTGCTATCAGTGTGCAGTGGTTAGTAAGCTCTACCTAAAAGTGTCAAAGGAAGGACAATCAGTGAAGCGGCAGCAGGATTATCATCGCCCGAGGCTCATTGATGCGCGTGGGGAGCGACGGCCCATGTGTTCCCGGCCCACAGAGGAGCTACTGTAGCACAAACTGCTGAAAGGGTCGTTGATGCGACACGTGGCTGAATATGCGTTAAATAGTGTGAAGGAAATAAATCATGAATAATATCTCAGACAGAAAGATGAATTATTTTCCTGAGCGATGTTCTGAAATGATGATTCAATCAAAGACAATTTTAGAAAGATCTTTCAAATTATTTATCATCATTTCCCCACCAGTAGGCTGATCCACATTTTCACATTCACAGTGAACACGTAAAAAATGGTTATCAGTGGCTGATGAGTCCCGACACTCATCTGCATAACTCTGATTTCATTCAAAGACTTTTATAATCCTCAAGAGCACTTGGATCTTTCATATGGGGAACCCTCCATATGAAAGAAATGTGTGTGTGTGTGGGGGGGGGCAAAAACACGAAAAGAAAGAGAAAGAGAGAGAAAAAAGATGACCTAAGCTGTGTTTCATCTGAAGAACATGAATGAACACCAGAAAGAGGGGAAGGAATAATTCACGACGGGATGAAAAGGTTTCTCTCAGAAGGAGGGGACGGCTTCACAAATCCTCAATTGCCTCATTAGGACAGGGATGTGTTTTTTGTTTTTTTTGAGGTGACGGAGGGAGGCGGTGCTCCAAAAATACCCCTGGTGCCTTGGGGAAATGGAGTGGAGGTGGGGGGTGGAGATTGTTGACACAGGATGAGGAAAAGATAGGCCTTTCTTTTAAGACCCCCTTTATATCCTGACCCTGAAAAATGCAGGTAGAGAGATCTAACTAACTCAATTTTGGACAATTTAAAAAAAGGGCATTGGAATTGCATATGATCTATGAATAAGTAAAACCACTAACTTGTAAGTGAACTAATTGGTTGGGCGTTCCCATTAAAAACTCCAGGAGATCCAGGAAAACCTTTAAATTTAACTCTCAGGTGCAACTTTTATTTCCATATTTTAAGAAAGATAATATGGAAAAAGAATCAGAATGCTCTCTCTTTCTCTATTAAAAATAATTGATTTGGAAAGCAGCACTCAATTTGAAATGATTAAAAGCTCATTCTCCAGTGACCTGGGATGAGGCACCGCACCAGAGCTCATTGACTTGACTCAAAAATAAAGAAACTTTCCTTGTCCCTATGTCCATCCATCCATCCGTCCATCTATCCATCCATCCATCTATGCAGCCATCCATAGGATACACATAAGATTTGTCTCAATTAAGGGGCCACAGCCTTGGGAGGCCCCAGTTGAAGACTGATTGCGGCTGTGACCCAACCAAACAGCTAACAGTACAAATGATAAATACAACCAACTGCAGCTCTGTTGCTCGATGACAACAGAAGGGCAGGACAAGCTGGTGGCGCCGATCACAGAAATTCTATATAGACCAGACCCTTTCATTTCTAACAAACATGTCTTTGACCTCTTGAACATCAAGTCTGCTTCTCTGGGAGCTTTTCAAATTTTGACCAGTTTTTAACTGGACTCAAAGATTAACAGATTAGATTTCAGCAGTCAAAGGTCAAAGGTTAAGGTGACAGACTGTGCTGGTTGGTGGAGGCATAGTAATTTCTGTGTGTGACATTAGCAGTAATAGTCCCTCTGTGGCTGTACCGGCACTAATCACTGTGCACACGTTACCAAGTTAGGCAACTGAACCTAAATTGCATGACTAGTAACAAACATCCCTTTCATGCCTGATTAGCAAACAAATAAGGACCAGGAGTCACAACGAAGCAAAGGTCCTCTTCTTTAAAAACTAATGAAGCTCACAAGGTGTGCTACTGTCACACTGTGTTTGTATCTGAGGAAACATCAGGAGTCTTCATGTGACCTGATCCACAGATTGGATTCAATTGTCCTGTGTCCTGCACATTCACCTGTGCAATCCTGACATCACACCTACACACAAAACAAGCTCCACCTCAATCCATAAGTAAAATTCTGATTCCATTAAACTTCATTTTCGTGAGTCTGTAAAGCTCTGTTAAGTCTCACAAAGGCCCTATTTAGTTTTTCTCACAGAGACACAGATGAGTCTTCAAAACCGCCGTTATGCTTCAAAACAGGAAGCAGCCTGTCAGCCCATCGCAGAGAGCTTCCTGTGTCCTGGCTGAGAGGCGAGTGAAGTGACAGCGCTGAGAGAGAGAAAGTCTTGATACGTATACAGTATGAGTGAATGTGTCTGCTCAGGTGCGACTTTTCACACCTGACATTTTTTTCAGGTTTGACACATACTATATATACATATATCTTAAATATACATTTATGTTGATATGCAGTATATACTAAATATGCACATAGA